ACATCTGGTGAAAATTTCATGTCATTAGCACCTCTAGTAATATATTTACTGAGAAAATGGTGACGTGTTCAATACTTATTTTACCCGCTGTATAAGGTTAGTGGAAATAACTAGACTTCTGAAATGTAAGTGAAAAAGTAGGAACAAAGTAAAATTATAGCTTAATGAATTTAATGTTCCAGCTGTTGGTCCGTCCATTCATCCCCAACAGATCCAAGAGGGAAACCCAGGGGGGGGGACAGCAGGTGTCACATCTCATCAGGTCCAGGTAGCTGAGGGACTAAACTAGGGGTCTCCAACTGGTAGCTCCTGGGCTCATTTAAATTAGCTCTTCAGTGATTATGAAAAATTAGGAGAAGCAAAATTTAATTAGTCACTGGCCAAACAATCTTTCATTTAACCCCAATCAATCTATAGATGTTGCTCCAGCCCCCCTAAAATAGGTCTAGTGACGCCCCTGTGTGTAGGTGCAACCCAGCTGGTCCCAAACGGACATGGCAGCAAATAAAGATTAAATATAAAAACGTAGTAAAATCAGGTAAGATCCAGGTATAAGCGCTTATGTTCAACCTTTAATGTCCACTGGTACAGTACATTTCAAGGTGGCGAATCCAATCAGACAAATAATGTGGACAATCCCGCCGAGCTATCAGATTCTCCAAGATCAATTCCATCTCGCCAGCAAAGTCCAGGAACCACAACCAGCCTGCGACCCTCAGCAGAACCGCTTGCAGGCCAAGTTCCAGCTCGCACAAGGTACAAGTCTGAGTGCTGATAGAACGGCAATCCTTCATGTTGGTCAGGCAGCCAGGAAATGACCTGAATAGTCACAGACGTTGTTTTGTAGAACACCAGGAGACCACCAAGCCAATTTGTAGAGTCCAGTGATCGGAATCCAAATATATATCCAGAACAGAGTTCCCACCTTTGACATGTCCTCCCATGGAAGAAAACTTTGTTCCAAAAATTTATTAAGAGACCAGCAAACCAAATCCATAAAAATATCCATAATTTTCGGTTTTGGATGAAAACGTAGAGAAGGCTCCGAGCAGCAAAGCAGGGAAACATGGGAGGGCAGGAGAGAGAGAAAAAGCGTCTTACTCCTCCAAGAGCAGATTTACAGGGCAATCTCCAATTCCATTTTTTCCCTCTGCTTGGTCTAAAATATTAACTGTTACTACCACTTTTTTTCCTTGATTTGTTTTAGTGTTTCTTAAAGCCAGAAAGTTGCCRTTTGAAATGACTTTAGTTTTGTGTCATGTCTGTGATCCGCTTTTTTCTACAAAATTAAACAAGTGAATGAACATCCTCCAAGGCCGGAGATTCTATAATTTTTGCCAGGGGTTGAATATGTATGACAAAATACATTTTATTTTCATAATGATCTGTTTGAGATCTTTACTTAAAATTTTATTCAAAATTTTCATCAAAGGGAAGTTGTTTCTTCTAATTCTAGGTGTTATCAGAATAACAAGTTGCACATTTTTGTTCTTGTTTTATATATTTCATATCTACAGAGAGCTGCAGCGGAGGGACCAAACCGCTACACGTGGTGCCGGAGCCACCACTGCAGACCCCCCCATCTGTTGATTATTGATCTCAGCAAGGGCTCATCTGGCGATTTCGATGTGGCTAAATTAACTTTTTTTAATCCACCAACAACAAAACAAAACTCATTAGAGGTGAAAAAGTTTCACTTTAATGATCACACACTTCAAGTACTACGAAGCTTGTAAATATCCAGCAAACACAGTCAACATAAAAGAATTCAATGAGAACATTACTGTTCATTGTTTCACTAAGCAACAATTTATCAAACTTTAGAGAAACAAAAACATTCAGTTTCTTTACAAATGAAAAACAAACCAATGTTTTATTACAACACGGGTGAAACTGCTTTCAACGCTGTCCAAAAGGAAAGAAAAACAACGGTTGAATCTAATCCTGCAAGAAAAAAAAAATTAAAAAAATTAGCCAAAAAAAAAAGGCTTTTTGCTTTCAAAATAAAACATTTCAGATCGTTCCATAGCTCCGTTTAGCCATTTATCATTTTTCTGGTCTAATGAGGATAAATACGATTTTAGAGGGTGAAAAAAATCTGCAAGGAAAAGTTTGAAATGTTTTTATTAGTTACAAAAAATTTCTTTTAGGGACTTTGAATGTGGACACAAAATGAAAAATTATTAATATTTTTTTATTATTTAGATTATTGGAGGCTCTTCCACATAAATGTTTAATGTGTTGCTTTTGATGAGGACAGGTTGCTTCTAAAAATCTCTAAAACTTGTCGGAGAATGAATACAGTCCTGAGCTGCTGAACACAGGGAGGGCCAGAAAAAAATAAATATACCAATGACAAAAAAATGAAGAACCACCTACAAAGACTGATGTTAATTCCTTGCGAATTAAGACGAGGATTCTCAAACATTTTCCTTCAATAAAAATCTTTATTTCATTAAATAAAGTTTCATCATTGCTAAGAGGTTCCATGTTGGCTCTAAGTTTTTCCTTTCGTTACAGCGAGTCTTGCTAATTATTAGGGATGCACCGATACCAGATTTTTGAAAACCGAGTACGAGTACAAGTACTTACATTAAAGTACTTGCCGATACCAAGTACCGATACAAGTACTAGTAAATATCCTTAAAAATCCTTATAATTAACTTAAACTGTTTATTTTCATTAGGCAC